TGGACTCTGGTACAGATCAGAGCTGGAAACACAGGGAATCCAGGACAGATAAACCTCTTAGGACTGATATTGAGAGTAGCAATACCAAGAGGGGAAGGGGAAGGTGGGGGGAGACAGGAGGAACCAATCACAGTGATCTACATATAACCCCCTCCCAGGGCAACACAAAAGTGGGTGAAGGGAGACATTGGTCAGTGTAAGACAAGGGGGGAAAATGTATAAATTATCCAGGGTTCATGAGGGAGGGTGGGAGAGAGGGGAAAGCAGATACCAAGGGCAAAGGAGAAAGAAAATGTTTTGCAAATGATGATGGCAACGAAAGTACAAATGTTCTTGACACAATCAATGGATGGATGTATGGATTGTGCTAAGAACTGTAAGAGTCCCTAATAAAATGATTTAGAAAAAGAAAGCATTTGTTCCTGACAATTTTGACTCTGTGGTAACTTGATATCAACTGCTGAATATAAGTTGTTAGTTTGAATTCGATACATGCCTCATATGGGTTGTATGTAAACTCCAAGGTCCTGAGTATTTCTTAGAGAACTTATTCTTAGACTCAGATACAAAGGGTCTGTGTTCCCTATGCCGTTTCTATTTTTCCTTTTAGTTAGCATTCCCCAGATTGGCAAAAGATTGGTTGGTGGGAGAGGTAATAGGTAGGGTAGGCCTAAAGCCCACTGTTGGTTTGGTGATGTACAGAGAAGCACTTGACATTCTGAATCAGGAGATTCTATATGCAGATCAGCTAGCTCTCTGACCGTATAAAACCCCACTTATTCTCCCTGCTCACCAAAACAGTTTAATAGATAACAGAAGTCTTTTAACCTTGGGTGCTTCACTAAGCAGGCTGCTCTCTGGTATGCAGTGGACTTGCAGCTAACAACAGTTGAACTCAAGTTTGCTATAGTTTAGTCATCAGCCAAATGGTGGCAATACCACTTATCTGCCATAACTGTTAAACTAATTAAGTAATTGAATTAATTCATATTTGTATACGGTACGTGTAATCCCCAGGACAATAAGAAAATAGCTTATAAATACATGTAAAAGAAACAATAGCAGGTTGAAAATTGAGCACACAAAAATGTGTACTTTACACCAAAGAAGACATTCAGAAAGAATGAAACTTATGTGATACTTAAAAAAAAAATTTAAAGATGGAATACTGTACACAGATCTGTTCTTATCAGCAATTGCCTTAGCTATAAAAGATTAAATACTCCAATTAAAAGACAGGCATTGGCAGAGTGGATTTAAAGAGCTGGAGTCCAAATACATGTTGTCTACCAAAGACTCACTTTAGATTCAAAGACACAGAACAAGTTTACAATGAAAGGAGGGGAAAGATGTTCTGTGCCAGAAGAGACCTGGAATGGTAATAGTTAAAACAAAAAAGTGCTACCAGAGACAAAGAAAGACTCAACACTAAAAGAGTTAACCCACTGAGCAGCTGTAATGCTTGGTATATACTTGGATAGATACACCTTAATTTCGCGCCACTCATACATATACACTGGCCAGTTTTATGGAAAATACACATTAGGAGTCTCGATGATTCTAAGCAGGGAGTCTTAACACGGAAGCCATTCCCTTCATAATACAGGAGGCCGTTTTGAAATCCTAAGCAAGACACCTTTTGCTTGTTGTTTGACCCCCACCATATAGGTACGAAGATGCACTGGTCCTCTTGCTCACGGAGGTGTTGAATAGAATCCAGTTCAGATACAACCAGGCCCAGTTGGAAGAGCTGGATGATGAGACCCTGGATGATGATGTAAGTGGCATGCTCTGGTTCACCTTCAATCGTTGCCACGGGTTGACTCAGAATTGACACTTGGAATCTGTCGTCCTTCTGCTCTGGAGACATATAGTCATTGTATTATGGTTGGAGTTGTACATTAGAACATTTTATTTAGTCTCATTAACTGAAAACAGTGTCACAGATGTTCATACCTATTCATAGAGAAACCTTATGCACAGTGGGAAGTGGTTTAAGGAGAGCTTTCCCCTTGTACCCAGGCAACAAATAAAAGCTTCATGGATACTAGTGGAAATAATTAGATAGAGATACTTCACTGATAAGGCTAGAATGACATGAAATCTGCCTTGATTATGTTTAATTTGTGAACTGCTATCTTTAAAAATCAGTCTCGAATTTATTGACACTCAACATTATTAAGGAGAATGTCTTTAAGGACACAGTCAACCCCAATTGACCTTTTTAAAAAAAAACATCCACAAACCAAGCCCACTGCCATCAAGTTGATTCTGACCCATAGTGACAGATGGGCCTGTTTGTGGCCCACAGGGTGAGTAGCACTAGTTTAATCAGGGAGACTTCCGGGAACATGGGAACGTAAGCAGGGCCAGATTCAGAAGTGACCGGTCTCTGTCGGAGGGATAATGCAAAGAGGCCTCGAAGCATCTGGCAAGTGGCTCTTGTCCCTCTTCCTGTGTTTCCAGGGAAAGTGGGGCGTTCTGATGACGACTTTGCTTCCTGTGGCAGGAACTGTTTTGTGACCCGAGCTGTAGAAAATATTCTAGCTTGGCCTTCTCAGGGCATCAAATAACCCGATTCCATTGTTTTCTGTTTCTTCCAAATGGTGTGTCTGAGGGCGTCTGCCGGGCTGGCAGGTGATGCTGGCGCCTGGACACTGACCCCCCCTTTGCTCCCCTGTGCTTCCCCTGCAGCAGCAGACCGAGTGGCAGCGGTACCTGCGCCAGAGCTTGGAGGTGGTGGCCAAAGTGATGGAGCTGCTGCCCACTCACGCTTTCTCAACACTGGTAACAGAGCTTGGGCGCGGGGGGAGTAAGAATGGTTCTTGCCCGGTGCGTGCAACATGCCGAGAAAGGCTTGTCGAAAAATATTTTACGTCCAAAGTTTATAAGCTCTGTTTGTCTTTCCCCAAACCATGGCTAGGGTATGAGTGCTACTGTACTCCAGTAGCTCCCTGGTGGCCAGCCCTACTAGAGGACATGCTGTTTGTCCAAGTGACAGTCCTGAAAGGTTAGCCTTCCGAGCGCGGTGCCAGCTGATTGCTGGTTCCCGCTGCCTGTGTCTTAAGCCAGGACCCTTTATTCCTAAGGACTGCTTCCTGCCAAGGAGATGTCTTTAAGCCTGTCTCTTCTTCAAGGACAAGAGAAGTTACTGGGGTCCATCCTTGGGTTCTGCAACCCAGCTGTAGTTTGTGTTTTCTGTCACGGGAAAGTGCCCTTTCACTTTGCCATCGGCCTATTTTAGGGGCCTGTCTGTTGCATTGAAGTCTTGTTTTGATCCTAATCTAGGGCATTGGCGAGTGTAGCAACTTACAGAAAAGGGCAAGGGGCTTCAGAGTGAGGTGGCTTGGCTCTCACTGCCGTGCCCTTTAAGAAGGCTGATCGGTCTCTCGCAGGCTGGATTTCCCTAGGACTTGTAGGGAGACATGGCCCATCTCAGAGCTTCAGAAAATACAGTTGTTTGGGGTTTGATTTCCTATGTTTGGAATGGAAACGTTGCCTTCAGCATCTTATGCTTAAAAAAAAGTATCAGATTTGTTTGTTGTTTTATTACTATAAATATTAAGTGGTGATCTCAGTTGTAGAAACTGGTGATGATGGGAGCCAGCTCTTAGCTGCCAAGTGATGCCTCCCAGAGGAAAGGGTCAGTCCCCATCCTCTCCCCCTCATAGGTACTTGAGTTACTTTAATGTTAAAATGTTAAAACTTGCATTTTTATTTTTAAAAAACCCTTTGTTTCTTTTCAGTTCCCAGTTCTTCAGGACAATTTAGAAGTTTATCTGGGGTTACAGCAATTTATAGTTACTTCAGGGTCAGGTAAACTAGTTTTTATTTTCTAATCTAACTTTAAAAGAAAATTTTGGACTAATACTGAATTAACTGCCTTCTTTGATGTCAGAACGTGATTTCTCTGCTGCTGCCTCACCCTCCACCCCTTCCCACTTTCAAACAGGAATAAAACAAGCTATAAGGTGTCCAGGAGCTGTGGGGGAGGGAAAAGATGAGGTTATATTCTACATACATTTTAAAGCGTGTCAGAGAGAAGAGAAAGAAGGCATGTCATTTGGAGCAAAGTGGTAATATGTATGAAAGATTCCAGTGAGTAGAAGACAGTTGACTCTTGAACCATGTAAAGGTGGGGGACACTGACCCCCTTTGCTCCTAAAAATCTGTGTGTCACTTGGCTCCCCACAAACTTGACTAAAAAAGCCAATGGTTGACCCTGCTGACAACACAATGTTAGCGTTAACCCTGATTTTGTATGTAGTATGTATTATGAAAGCGGCATTTTCAATAGGAGGTAAAAGAGACATTTCGCCGAAAGTGCAGTGTTTTTCTGCCTCCTGGCATAGCTGCAGCGGTGGCCTCATGGGCATTCTTTTCTGCAATGTAGCTTTTGGTCTGGATTGATGCATCTTGAAGTGGTGGGCAAGTGCATACCCAGTCTACGAAACCCCCGAGCACCTCAGCTTTTTGTCATGCCAGACTCTTCTCTGGTACTGGGAACACTTCCAGCCCATTAGAGGCACTTCCTATGGGATCCCTGGGGTTCATCAGAGTCGTATTGGCACCTATGCGCACTGAAAGGGCATGAAATCTGAGAGTGCACAGGCACACAATTCACTGCAGAGCCAAACCTGCTCAAAAGAACCCTTCGCACCAGTAACCCGGCGCAGTGCAAACCCATCTTCAGGGATCCACTGTGTTTCCTTGTGTCCTTTAAACCGGCAAATAAGCCAGGGAAGACAAACAGATGAACTGCTGTGGCAGCCTGTGCTGTACTCTTTTTCCCCTCAGTTTTTGGAATCAGAAAGGCCCAGGAGTAGTGCCCAGGCGGGCCAGTGGGGCTGAGTGTGCTTCTTGGGAAGGCCTGACTGGCCCTTGGCAAGCTTCAACTGTAGAGCTGAGGGTTAGCGTTTTGCTGTTGTTTAGGGTATTCATACATCCATCCATTGTATCAAGCACATTTGTACGTTTGTTGCCATCTTCATATAAAAAACATTTTCTTTCTACTTGAGCCCTTGGTAAATCAGCTTTTCATTTTTCCCCTCTCTTCCGAACCCTTGATACTTTATAAATTATTATTATTTTGTCTTGTCTTACACTGTCCTAAGTCTCCCTTCACCCACTCCTCTGTTGTCTGTCCCCCAGGGAGGGGGTTATATGTAGATCATTGTGATTGGTTCCCCCTTTCTGCCCCCCCCCTTCCCCTTCCCCTCCTGGTTTCTCTGCTCTCATTATTGGTCCTGAGGGGTTTATCTGTCCTGGATTCCCTGTTTCCAGTTCCCATCTGTTCCAGTGTACATGCTCTGGTCTAGCTGGATTTGTAAGGTAGACTTGCGGTCATGATGGGGGAGGTGGGGGGGGCGGAGCATTAAAGAACTAGAGGAAAGTTGTATGTTTCATCGGTGCTATACTGCACTCTGACTGGCTCGTCTCCTCCCCAAGACCCTTCTGTAGGGCGATGTCCAGTTGCCTACAGATGGGCTTTGAGGCTCCACTCTGTACTCCCCATCATTTCCACTAGCACCCTGGCATTATCTCTGCTGGGTGATGAGTACCGTTAACTCCAGAACCAAACAACAAACTCATTGCCATCAAGTCAGTTCTCCTCATAGTGAGCCCACAGGACAGGGTAGACTCATCCCCGTGGGCTTCTCAGTCTGTGGATCCTTACAGGGGCAGAGAGTCTCATTTTTCTTCTGTGGAGTACTGGGTGGTTTCAAACTGCTGACCTTTCATTTAGCCCAACATGCAAGCACTACCAGGACTTCTAAGTACTATTACTCATGACTACTATCTGACAGAGGAGGAAAGTGAGGCTGAGAGAGGCCGGCTGCATAGCTTGTTCATGCCAATCCCAGCCTGACACGTGATGGGGAGCCATAAAAGTGTGGAGTGAACTAAACTAGACATTAGTGTTGCCGGCTACAAACACCAGAAGCTGAATATTGTGCTTGTAAACACGGGCCATGGCACACCTCCACTCCTCCTGTCCTTTACAGTGTTTTCCTTGTAAGACTTATGCCTGGCCTTGGCTTTCAACCCCTTTGTTGTATACAAAACCCCCTCCACACTCACTGCCATTGAGTTGATTCTAACCCAGAGTGACTGTAGAAGATAAGGTAGAACTGCCCCGTGAATTCCTGAGACTAAATACTCACGGAAGTGAAAACCTTGCCTTTCTCCCTCGGAGGAACTGGTGGTTTCAAACCGCACACCTTGTGGTTAGCAGCCCAACTCATGAGCAGTACACTGTCCGTTTGTGGAATAATGGAATTTTTTTCTAGGAACATTTTGAAGCCCTTTCATATAACTGTGGTTTCAGCCTGGCATAGGGCTGCCAAGAGGGTGGCCCAGCCTGCTGTTCATGGCAGGGCCTCTTCATGAGGCACTTGCTGAGTCTGCCCTTCCTCGTTGTCTATGGCAGCTTGTTCCCAGCTAGCTTCTAACTCGTCCAGCGGGTCTGGTAGGACTCAGTTTGCCCCACATGTTGGCCCCGATTCTATAGGTGGGTGAGAACGGCTTTTACAAGACCAATGGTTAAAAGCAAACTTGCTGCTTGTAAAATATAGTTAGAACAAATGAAAATTATTGTACTTTGTACAAATAGTATAGACAGATGTTTCTAGAATCTGTTCTTGGGTAAAAAGAGGACTATTCAAATTAGAGTATACTCAGAACCCTGGTCATTGTCCTTGATTTAGAAAAATAGACCCTATACCCCCCTCCCTCCTACACCTTCCACATTAAAACAGTGACGGCCTAGCTCTCCTGCAGGCACTGGTTGTGCCTTGCTTCCTCTGTGAGGCGTCTCTTCAGGGAGCATCTGCAGTGGGCCTGAAGTGTCCCCAGTGATAGAACGTCCCCGAGAACTGCCCTTCCAGAGACGGCCGTTCGTTCTCTTAAATGAACCCCGGGTGAGTGCACTGGACTCTTCCAGATCATTTATAAATCGAGTGCCTAGCATCAGCCCTCGACGTACAGTCCTTGGGCCAAACCTGGGAGAAAAATACTTATTTTCTTTTTAAAAACGAGTTCTTTTAGCCTTGACAACGTGCCCATCCCCATCCAATATCTCAGAAGCCAAATTTCCAATGCAAAGGCTATTTAAAAAAAAGGAAACTCTGAGGACAATTTGTTCCTGGTTCCCATGGCCCTTTCCCCTCTCTGATAACCTCCATGCTGTATTGGTCAGCCTCCCTGCCTCTTACCAGCAACAGTGTTGTCCTCTCCCCACGTGCATTATGGTCCCTTCTTGGCAGTTGAATTTACCCTCCAGCCTTGACTCATTCCTAGGTTGCCCCGGAGCCGGTGTAGCTGGCCTGGCCTTCAGCCCGGGTTCTTCTTGCATTCTGCTGGTGCTGTGGCCATCTACAACCGTTGGGTGTTCATTTCGGCCAGCAGCCAAGCCTACAGGGCGGCTTTCGATGGGCGGAGGCTTCAAGCAGAAGCTTCCGTGCTCGCCTTCCTATGGGCTCCAGTCCTGCTGTGCTGCTGCCCTCAAGGAGGACTGGCTAACCCATTTTCCCAGCAGGCACCACTGTAGCCAGTGAGGTGCTGCTGTGGCACTTTGGTGCCTGGGTCCCTCTCCTGCTCCTGGTAGGGCATCTTTGCTCTTGCTGTCTGTCTGCCCAACTTTCTGTGGATTAAGAAATCTTCCGATTAGTCATTTGCTGCTCCTTTTACACAGCATCTTGCCTTCACCCTGAAGTGTCCATTATTCTTATCTGCCATCCCTCACTGAGATCTGCCCTCACTGAGAAAGTATTTCTGCTCCTAGTAACTATCCCTTAACTATCCCAGTTAGCTGTGCAAGCCTTCTACGTCTGCGTGACGGAAGCTATTTGCGCTTATGTGGTTTGGGCTCAATTATGTCTAGTTCGTTCTCTCACAGTGGTCCACCTTCACTCCTCTCTTCCCTCACCCCTTCCCCTCCAAAAAGGAGGGGTGAATTATGCTAACGTGGATGCTTTCCCAGCCAGTTGTTCGTCGGTGAGCACCTGAGTGAGGGCCTCCGGACGACTAGATTTATGAAGCTGAGACTTCTTTCAGCGCCACCACGTTCCTTGCTCATTCTGAACCCTTCAGTAGCATTCTTATCTGAAGATCCGCTCTGCCGGGGTTCTGCCGGGTCGATTTGAGTCGCTCTTCACAGTGGTGCACCTCTCTAGTGGAGTCGCTGCCTGGCATGGTTTTGTGGTTGTGTTAGGGTTGACTAGGGAAACAAATCCAGAGACACTCTTATGTGTGTAAGAAAGCGCTTTCTATAAAGAATAATTGTATATTAAGAAATTAGCCCAGACCAGTCCGGATCAAGTCCATATGCCTGATATTAGCCTGTATATCTGATACCAGTCTACAAATTCTACTTCAGACTCACGCAACACATGCAATGGTGCTTAATGCAGGAAGCTCACAGGCCAGTGGGTGGAAAGTCTTATGGATCCAGTGGCAGTGGAAGCATCTTAGCGTTGGCGTGGGTCTCCACATGGCTCCTCCAGCTCTAGGGCTGTGGCTCTGTTAGTGCAGTTCCATGTGGCTTGTCAACAGGAATGTCTCGCAGGGGGAGTGTGTGCCTTACCTCCAGGGAAGAAGACAGGAGTTGCCAGAATCCTCATGAGAAGGCCATGCCCACACACAGGCCTCAATGGCTATGACCTGATTGACAGGTTAGACATCACCCCTTCCTCAAGTTGACAGGAGAGTATGGAACAGCCACAGTGGTGGTGATGGTAGATGATGTTAGGCTGTAAGGGGCCAGGAGGAGCCTTGATTGCAGTGCATATGCCCTATGTGTTGTCTCCCCTGCAGATGGAGCAAGAAAGTACCTGCTGTGATTTTGAACGACGTGGACGGTCAATGCTTATGTATCTTACGTTGAACTCTATGACCTGCGGCTTTGTGCAGTCAGAAATGCTCACCTACCAGCAGTTTCACATGATCCAAGCCAATGGCAAGCACTGGTAGCATAGTGACTTACCCATTGGGCTGCTAGCTACAAGGTTAACAGTTCAAAAGTGGCCATTTTTTTTTTTTTCTTCTCTTTTTTAACATTTTATTAGGGGCTCATACAACTGTTATCCCAATCCATACACACATCAATTGTGTAAAGCGCATTTGTACATCGTTTCTCAAAACATTTTCTCTCCATTTAAACCCCCGACATTAGATCCTCATTTTTCCCCTCCCTCCCCGCTCCCCCCTCCCGCATGAGCCCTTGATAGTTTATAAATGGGTATTTTGTCATATCTTGCCCTGTCCGACGTCTCCCTTCATCCACTTTTTGGTTGTCTGTCCCCCAGGGAGGAGGTCACACACAGTTCCATGTAATCGGTTCCCTCTTTCCTACCCATTCTCCCTTTACCCTCCCTGTTTTGACACTCACACCACTGGTCCTATAGGGCTCATCCGTCCTGGATTCCCTGTATTTTCAGTTCCTATCTGTACCAGTGTACCTCCTCTGGTCTAGCCAGTCTTGCAAGATAGAATTCGAGTCATGGTAGTGGGAGCGGGGAGGAAACCTTTAGGAACTAGAGGAAGGTTGTATTTCTCATCATTGTTACATCGCACCCTGACTGGCTCATCTCCTCCCCGAGACCCCTCTGCAAGGGGATCTCCAAAACTGGCCGTTTTGTGGGAGAAAGATGAGCCTTTCCACTCCTGTATAGACTGAGAGCCTCGGAAACACACAGGGGAAGTTCTACCTTGTCCTACAGGGTCACCAAGAGTCAGAATCGGCTCCGATGACAGTGTGTTGGGTTTCTTAAGCCAGTAGTATAAAACCCACGAACAGCAATCCCACACTGGTTTCAGTGCTGGGTACTTTGGTAGACAGATGAGGGCAGGTGGGGAGGAGAGTGATTGGAATGGCAAGGATTCTCAGAAGGAAGATGACGTGGGAAGGGGCAGGGGCTCAGGAGTTTTTAGGAGGGACGTTGTCATTGTGTTCACATCTCCCCAAGGCAGTCATGATCAGCAGGCTTTGGCTTGGCTCTGTTCTCCCCGCAATGGGTAGGATTGGGGAAGAATCACAGGCAGGCAGGTTTTTCCTGTTTCTTTCCAAGGATGGAAAGACTCCCTCCAGAGGGATTGAGCATCTCTGCTCACTGGATGGGGGAGGGAAAAGGCTAAAGGGCAGGAGTCAGGAGGGCTCACATCAGATGGACGTGTGCGGCTACACAAGGAGCAAAGCAAGGGTCTTAGTCAGGAATGCAGTGAGTGGACTGACAATAACTGCCTAACGCGTTTACATGAAAATGGAAACTTGATGTACGGTAGTGTTCTGTTTTAGATTGTGCTTTTAAAAAGAGAACCACAGTATTTCCTTTTGCTTAAAACCTTTAAGAAGTTGGGTACCTACTTCTGATATTTAGTACAGTGACTACATTGAAAACTAATGGTCCAGTTGGAGCTTGGGGTGCGTTGAGCTGCAGGCGAGGAAGGCAGAGAGGCAGTTGATGGTGGTCCCATGACCCGATGACAGTGCTCTTTGAAAAAAACAGCTGACACTACCTTTAAAGCCAATTCCAGACTGTGTTTCTCACCTAACCCCACGGTTTGCTTGCTTTCTTGGCATGCCAAGGAACCACAGGTTTTGGAACGGAAGCTTGGGATCTGCTTACAAAGCTGTGATGGGACCATCCCCTCGAGGTCCCCCAGGCTTGTGATTGTGGCACTACTGCTACGGGGCCATGGAGCCTGTCCTGCATGGCCCACAGAGGCACTGGCCCCTCCTGCAGGACAGGAGCTCTCTTGACCGTGTGGGTTGGCCATCTCTTGCTCTCTGACTCGAGGAGCTGGGCAGGAACCCTCTCTGGAAGCTCCTTGTGACTTCTCAGAAGCTGGGGCTCTGCTTTCTGCACCAAGACATTGCTCTCTGTGTGGGCCGGAGGAAGAAGCAGGACATTTGGGGGTAAGGGGAAGCCGGCCTTTGTCACTGGCTCCCTTTCGCATCACTCCCCTTCTTTTTGTTCTCACATTTTTTGGTGGCAGTGACCCACCCCTGGCGAGGTGGTTCTGCACCCAGCCTCAGCACTAGGAGGCTGGTTTAGGGGCAGAGGTATTCAACTTGTGGCTTGAGCCACCAATTTCTCCTCGGGTGACGGGGCCAGTTTCCCCTTCACAAGTGGTGCTTATTTGTATCCATCCGTAAACACTACCAGTGAACATGCCCACAGACAGACAGTATGAGGAAACCCAGCCTGCTCTAGTTGGCGGTCTGCCCGATGATATCTAGTCATGCATAACACTTACGGTCACCCACTCCCGCCCGAGGCCCTGTGCTGGGGGCTGTAGTGTGCCTAGCCCCTCACCAAGGAGGCCCGCTGTGATGCCCCACATCTTTGCTCTCTCTGTGCACATTCCCAAGCCCGAGGGAAGCTGCCGCCCTCTGCTGGGGGAGCGGGGGAAGGACGCTTCACAGAAGGAATGGTGCTTCTGTGGGTCTGGAGGACATGAAGGGGCTTGCAAGGTTTGCACAGGAAGACAGTGTAACAAAGTGACAGCAGGTCAGGCCAAGAAGACAGCTTTTGAGAGTGACTAGAGGCATCTGTCAGTGACTTCTCAGTGGCCCAGATGAAACAGTAGAACAGTAGGTGAAGTCGTAAGAGGCCTGATTGCTGATGCTGGGGAGCCTGGGCTTTCCCTTTGTACCCAGGGAGTCCCTGCAGGGTGTAGCACTGAGTGCTCAGATCCAGGCTCTAGGAAGGTGGCTGCAAAGCTCCGTGGGAGGAAGCCCAGCAAGAGAGAACAAACCCTGAAGTGCGGCCGAGGAACTGGCCTGGAAGCTTCAAGGGAGTAGGGGTGGGAGGTTGTTGGCGCTCACAGGCTGTGGCTTGACCTCACTGCCTCCACGTCGTTCACTGTGCTGCAGGCTCATCTAGGCCCTGTTTTAACACTAAGGAGGACTTAATGCCAATCCTAGAGGTCGGTCTTCTGTCTTCTGGAAGGTGAACTGAAATTTGGAGTTTTGTTTTGCATCTTGGCATCCTCCCTGTCTTGATTGAAGGAATTACAGTAAAAAGTCAGAGTGCTTCAGGCTGGAAAATCTCCAGCTCTTGTTCATTTGTAATGACTGCTACCCTTGAATAACGTGGTCCAGCTTAAAGGGGTATATGTATTTTAATTTAACCCTAACTGTAGTCCCGTAAATTAAAAAGTGGCAATTTTCCCATTTTATAGCCAAGAAAACAAACTTTAAGAAGTTTAAATGCGACACGGAGCCAGGAAGTGGCTGTTGAGTATGCCTTCTGAGTATTTAAGTCGTGGCCCCCAATCCCATGCCATGCTACTGAAAAATCTTCTGAGGTGGGTGGCTGAGACCACCCCCATTTCCCCCCCCCAGCAGGGCTGAGTCGTGCCGGTAAGCCCATGGGCCTTATATTCAGTGTGGGTGTCATGTAGGAAAGGCAGCAAGCTTGGAGTCCCATAGCTTTAGCCTTCCTGCGCGGCCCAGAAAGCCCATGGGATCCAGGCAACGTGTGCTTCCTCCGGTGTGAACTTGGCAGTGTCCGTACCTGACAGTGCAGAGAGGGGTCAGTGCTCAGCCGGTGAGCATGCCTCAGGCCACCTGTCCCCCCTGCTCCACTCTGCCTGGCCAGCAAGCAACCTATGTGCTTTGTTTTGAGAAATCAGATTGGTTATTACGTAGTGGAGCTTATCTGGCTAAGCTGTTATCTGTAGTGGTAACTGAAGCGTGTTCTTCCTGTGAAAAACTGGGGGGGTTGTGTTCCAGGACACAGGTTGAACATCACAGCGGAGAATGACTGTCGGCGACTGCACTGTTCCCTGAGGGATTTGAGCTCCCTGCTGCAGGCCGTGGGCCGCTTGGCTGAGTACTTCATTGGCGACGTGTTTGCAGCGAGGTTCAATGATGCCCACACTGTCGTGGAAAGGTAGGCCGACGGTTACATCAGGACGTCCTTCCTCTTCGGGGCTTGGTTTGACCTTCTAGTGTGAGAGGCAGGACGGTGCTTTCATGGCAGCACTGGTTAAACCTGGCTCCTGCCACACGTAGCTGATGTGGACAAACTCCACATCCCTTATCTGTAAAATGGAGTGGCGGTAGTAATATCTTTTAGGTTTGTGTGAGAATTAAATGAAGCTAAGGCACTTGGCACCGTACATAGTGCATAGCAAAGCACTCTGTATGCATAAGCCGTCCGTCTGTTACTGATGATCTTGAAGATAGCTCTAAGGACAAGAGGTCAGGTGAGCTCTGTCATGGCTTTTCTCACAGTAGAAAAACTCTCATAGTAAGGGACAACACACACTACCCAAGCCGGCAGCCAAATGCCACAGGTGTGCACGAGGCACGTTCTGGGGAAGAGGCTGGGAATGGTTGCAGGATTTTCAGGGGGTGGTCAGTTCACTAAATGACACATAGAAATTGCTGCTGGGTCTATTCTCAACAAATCCAACATTGGATGTCAGAGATCAGAGGCTCCGGCCATTTCAGGATAAGCATGGAGTTGTGAAGGCTAGAACTGAGTGCCTGTGGATCCAACCCCGGCCAAGACAATGTGCTGATTGACACTGGCAGCAGAGGGTTTAGCTACAAGCTCCTAAGAGCCTCGCTCCTGGCATACCAGATTTTACTCTTACCTCTTAGTTTTAGATCACTAAGACTTTTAGATGAATCCTTTAAGAGCCAGGTGAATAATAAAAGTAGTGCACAGTATTCTGAAGTATTCCAAAATGTGTTGGTGTATTTTCACATGACTCTATTCTTGGAGAGGTTGTTCTGCTGTTTGCACTGGAACCTGGCTCAGAGAAGAGAACTCCCTTGCTTGAGGTCACACAGCTTCAGAGGGGCCGCACGTGGCCAGCTTGCTGATTTCCAGTGCTTTTTCCGCACGTGAGTGCCTTTAACTTCCTGGGTCTGCTTTGCCAGCTCCTCCGTGCTCTACATCCAGCACTTGGATGATCTCTCTCTCTCTCTCTCACACACACACACACACACACACACACACACACACACACCCACGACTAATCCCAGCTCCTCCGTGCTCTACACCCAGCACTTGGATGATCACACATACACACACCCATGACGAATCCCAGCTCCTCCGTGCTCTACATCCAGCACTTGGATGATCACTCACTCACACACACACACACACACACACACCCATGACTAATCTCAACTCTGCGGTGAAGTTATTTATCAGAGATCTTGAAACAGTCTTTTATAAAGCCTGAAATCTCTTTCTGGGCCGCTTAGGCCTGTAACTCAGCAGGACCACTTCATTGTTTTGTCTGCCTCTAGAATCAAGTTAATGAGGCGTTGTGTTAGGGCTGCATGGTCCTAGTAGCCACTGTGATTAGCAGTGTTTGTACTTAGAATTACATAAAGCAAAGCCCACTGACCATAGATCGCTGTTAACAGATACAGTGTTTGGGAAGCCGGTCTCGGTGTTTAGAAAGGGATGCACAGCATTGCTGTGTTTCTTCTGAGAGAAACTGTTTTGATTGCTACTTATCACTATAGCCTAGAGCCTGAGATTGAGAACCCTCAGTTCTTTGACCCTGGACTGACTGGGAGGGCCCCTTCCGGCTTGTCCCCCAGCTATACACAGTGTGCGCCTCAAGCCTGTGGTTTCTTACTTGGAACGAAGTCCTGTTTGCTCCAGACAGTGGCCCAGGGTCTTCGGGAACCTTCTCAGAGATGAGATTTCCAGAACATCCCTCATATCTGGAGTTGGTGCAGGGTGTTGAGAACCTCTGCTCTGGTGGATTGAGGAGTGACACCCACGCTGTTCACCCCGGCAGCCGGCTCCTCGGTGTCCTGGCAGAGGTGACGCTGCGGGATGGTAGCCAAGCCTCTTTTCTTTCCCTTTCACTCAGTGTTTCCCGTATAACGGGAGAAGCATGTTCTGTTTCCCAGCAGAGCTGATTGTTCCCCAATCTGACACTCATCTGCATACAGTGAGTCCCCCCTGACCAACAGTGGGCTCCACAGCCTGGCTTAGGAAGAATTGAAGTTTAAAAATCTCAGCTTAGCCAGCGTTGTGTATCTCTTCCTGGGCCCTATGCTTCATCAAGAAAAGTTGAGAGAAATGCACAGGAAACACCCGTTTAACTATCTCCGGGATTCCCTAGTGAACATTTCTGTCTTTGCTTTCTCATCAGAGGGTAAGTCCGTCAGTATTGCTGCTGACTCGGGCTGTCCAGGCTTACCCTGAGCAAAACGCGTGTAGACATGTCTCTGTGGTCAGTGGGTGACTCGGCGGTACATTGGTCTCAGTCACACGAGGGCGCCTTCACTCAGAAAGTGTCTGTCCACAGGGTGACTTCTGAGGGGGTCTACTGGGCTAGTTAAATCCAAGGCTGAGAGGTCAGTGCAGAGGGTGATGGCAACTGTTTTTGGCATTCCTGAGGAGTAAGCTTGATAGATTTTCTTGAAGAACACATGATGATGAGGAGGGCTTATTATAAAGAAGTTTTAAGAAATTTGAAAAGGGCATGCACCCAGGAGAAAAAGCTAAGACGTTTGTGCTGAGGAAATTCACGATGCTACACCCGTTCCGTCAGGAAAGGCTGTCCGGTGAGGATTTTGGTGGGAAACTCTGCCCCACTCACCTCATCCTGATCATTCTTCCTTCAGACGATTTCTCCTTCCCCAAACTCACGAGCTTTCTGGAGGAACACACTTTGAGTTCTTCCAGGATGCGAAAGTGCCGTATGATGTGGCATGAACTGAACAGTGCTGACTCTTCTGGAAAGGGTTCGAGAGATGGAAACACCATGGTCAACAGTGTCTCAATCTGGATGGGAGGGTGTGTGAGGGAACAGTAGCTTCACCTCCTGGTGTTTGTGTTTAATGAAGGCATCTATGATGTGTGGCAATCCTTTCTGACTTGTCCTCGATACTCATTCAAAACATTTGCTTAAAATAAAAAAAAAATAAAAAAAAGAAGTAGCTAAGACGATTTGGGCATTATAGATTTTATAGGACAATTTATGTCAATGATTTGAAAAATGGTAGCTTGATTTAAAAAAAAACAGTTTATACTCATGTGTATAATATATTCATTGCCTACAACTTGGCTATATAGAACATTTTAAATGGGAAAAAGAATCTGTAATCCACCCCTCTAATCTACCCACTCTGTCCTACCCCACAGGCAGTGATAACCAGTACACATGCTTTCTTGAACATTTTCCCAGTCTTTTTTCTGTAAGGACACACATTTTTATAATAAAATTGGGTTAGATTCTCTCTCCTTTCTCTACGTATGTATGTACAAGGATATATACATGCACGTATAAATACATAAATACATATATATATATATACATATACATATATATATATATAGAGAGAGAGAGAGAGAGAGAGAGAGAGAGAGAACAGCCTTTTCATGCCACAGACATGTGAAATCTTTGACCTTAAATATCCTTCTAGCCATGGTTTCATTGACTGCATTGTATCACCTCTTCTGTGATGGCTGCTTGTGTTGTTTACCATTGTTTCGACATGGCAAATAATAATTTAATTTATGTTCTTGTATATAAATATGTATGGACATCTTAGATTATTTCTTTGGCAAAAACTTGAAGGTCTGATACTGATTTTTTTAATTTTAAAATATGAAAACACCATTCTGATCTGCCCTTGGGTTTTCTTTGCTACCCTATCCATCTTGTCTAGTTCAACCCGTAGACTCTTTCCGACTCACTTCTTCACCAACAGGTTGGTCAAAGTCACTCTGTATGGATCTCAGATAAAACTGTACAACATCGAGACGGCTGTGCCATCAGTACTGAAACCAGACCTCATTGATGTGTAAGTAAAGAGTTTGGTGTTTTTTACAGTCTCAAGCAAGACCTAGGAACAGAACAAGGTTGGTTGTGTATCTTGAGGTCAGGTGGTTGGACAAATGAGAACGAGGCTGGAAGCTGTGTGGAATGGGCTCTCCGGGAAGAGAGAAGAGCCACACTAAGGCACAGACGTGATGCACGGTCACTCACTTAGGGAGGGATGAGGCAGGACAGGCATGTTGGGACTGAAATGAGAAGTATTTGACTCCCAGGAATCTTGTCCTGTAGACCAGTGACGGAGATGGCAGGGAGGAGAAGATCTACCTAAGAGCACATTTTCCCAAGAATCTGATGGTAGCAGGCTGGCATTGGGCTCAACACTGAACAAGAACCCCGGCTTATTTTAGACCAAGACACCAGGACCCACACTGTGAGAAACCTAGAGACAACTGGAAGCCATTAGCAACAGGGAATGAGGGGAAGGGATGGAGGATTACAGGGTGAAGAGGCAGGAACTGGACTCTTAAGTTACACTGATTGGAAGATTTACTTCAGACTAGAGAGCAAGGGTTGGCAAACTATATAACCTGCTCCCTGTCTGGCCAGCTTTTGTAAATAAAATTTTACGGGGACATAGCCACATTAATTTTTTCATTGTCTTTGACTATGTTTGCACTACACCAGCATTGCCCATGTCTTGGTTCTGCCCCAGCAGTGACACAATAGCAGTGTGACCCTTCATACCCAGGGCTTGCTTTCTAAAATATACTCCTGCAAAAAGGAAACCAGCTCTCTTGGGGAGTAATGGCCTGCTGCAGGCCTGGGCCAGGGCAGTCCTAGCAAATCCTGTTGAGCCAGCAAGTAAGAGTGCTGAGTGAGTGTTCGGAGAAGGTGGTTGAAGCAGAATCGGAAGGGTTACATTTGACAATTTGATCATCAAGGAAGAATAAAGAAACAGGATGGGTGGCTAGTTACCGCCATGAACACCTGCCTCCTTTGTCATGAGCTTCTAAGGTTTTTGTTACCCATTGGAGGCAGCACAAAATTTATTAAAATCCACTGGGTTTTTGTTAAGTATATCTAGCTATCCTCTAGCTAGACACAGTGTATGGTGCCATGGAAGCTGAAGCTTACTTCAAAGCTTGAGTTACAAGCTGTGATATCTGGTAATTGTCTCTACCCTGGTCTGCACCTGCTGATGCGACATTTTTACTAGATCCAAGCCAACACATTCCCATGTACAGTCTTTGATTCTGTTTTTGTACTCTTGCCGTCTTTTCAGATTGAACAAATCTAGTAGTCAACATTGACTAGCCATCTGTTGGGTGCTGAGCGGTGGTGGCAATGGTCAGATGATGGGGGTCTTCATTTTTAGAGCCTGTGTATGCAACTGGGTGACTTCGGTGCTCCTGTCCCGGAGCAGCAAATGCATGGAGGATGGAGTTCTTATCTCTGCGGTCTTTGGCTGTGGTAACCGTTCACGTGACACCTTGTTGACTTCCCTCAGGCACGCGCAGTCCCTGGCTGCGCTCCAGGCGTACTCTCACTGGCTAGCCCAGTACTACAATGAAGTGCACCGACAGAACGCCCAGCAGTTCGTCTCACTGGTCTCTACCACCATGGATGCCCTCACCCCTCTCATCAGCACGAAGGTATGGAAACAGCTCAGCCACGCCCGCTGCACATCCATCTTCTGCTCTCTTCTCCGTATGCCTGTCTCTTGTGAAAACAAAACACAGCCAAGCTGCGGTGCTCAGCAGGGCCTGCATCCATCCACATATCCATTCTTTAAGTCTAACGTAAACATCTGTTCATTTTAAGAAGATGGAGTGTTTCCTGACTATATAGGCCAAAAAGTTAAGTTTTGTTATAATCCCTTCCTCCGGAACATGTTCCTTCCCAAGGTGACCACCGTCGGCAGTTAGCTGAATATCTTTTCGGGCTTTTCTCTGTCTGCCTCTACACAGAATGCGGGGATTAGCAGGGCCACATTGAGAGGCGGTCACAAAGAAGGGCTGCTGGGGACCTGGTTCTTACACGCAGGCTTCCTCCCACTCTCAGGAACGCATGCACAGTCGAATAAGGGGCCTTCCAAAACACCATCTGTTAACAACAGTGGTTCCCAGGGCATCTGCTGAGCCAATTAAATTCAGGTCCAAGAGGTCAGCTCAGAAGGTATGGCAACTGTTTGGGGGCATTTCCAAGCTGTAAATAAGCATGACAGGTTTTCAAAGGACAGTCGTGAAGATGTTAGAAGAAAATTGGAAACAATAAGCGTGAGAAAAAGACCAGCAAATTTGTGCCAAGGAATGTTTTTCCACCACAACAGTGCACCTGGCTCATTCTTCAAAGGTAGCAAAGACTGTCAGACCCGAATGTTGTTGGGAAACCTCACCCCACCCACCCCAGCTCTGCCCCTGCCCTTCAGGCCTCCTCTCATTCTCAAAGCTCAAAGCACACGGAAAGTCACAGGATGCGAATCTCTCGAGGATGCCAGAACTGCCCCTTTCACCAGGTGTCCATTGAAGAGGGCAGGCTTCTGGAGGAAGGTATACCCATTTGATGGCTGTGTTAGAAGCAGTCGCTTCCCATTGTGCTGCTTGTTTGATGAAGGTCTCTATACTTTCCTGCTTTTAGATGGGCCCTGAGAGAATAGAAGAAAAATCAAGCTCAGATCCCTTTAAAACAAACCACTCCCAGACCTACCAGACTGGAAGACTCCCCAGGACACTTGTCTTAAAGCCTGGGCCTCCACAGTTAACCTGAGGTCACCCTGGAGATAAATGACAAATTGGCTTAAAAAAGAATGACTCTTACAGTAAATACTGTCTCTTCTTACACATTACCTGTGTGAGTCCAGACAGTCAACAAAGACAAGGCTGTAAGGAGGTAACAGAAACAAGATGAATGCAAAGGGGACAACGGGGGGTGGGGGTGGGGGGTGGGGGTGGGGTGTGTGTGCTCGTGCTTTTAAAAGAATGGAACAAGTGTCACTAAACCCCCGGGGAAGGAATTGCTTCCTGCCACCCATACTAACACTCAAGCGCATGCACACACCACCATCACTGCCACCACCTCCCTCTTTTTAGGTCTGCAGGGTAAGGTAGCTCTTTTTGCTTAGCAGTATGAATATGCCTTGGAGACTTTTAGATGTATACAGCAACTTCATTTTTTTCCCTTCAAATTATTCAGTACTTTGTAGTATGGATGTGTGCTAGTTTTCATACTGACAGGATTTTAGTTTTTAAAATTTATATATGGCAATAGTGAGCCTCTTTCTATGTACATCTATGTATATCTTACAAATAAGCTAAATGTGTCTGTGGGAGGAATTCCTGGACGTGGACTTGTGGAGCGGAAATTTATATCCACGTCAACTTTGATAGATTCTGTGACGCTGCCCTCTGAAAAACAGCCCGTGACCATTGCTATTGTGTGCCATGTTTGACAAACAGCTCTAGTCCTTCTTAATGTAGCTTGTAAACAAAACCATAACTGTCCGTGTGTGATGTCCTATGAGTTCCTGGTTATCCCAGGATTCACCTACTCATTGCTAGATTTTGAGGTTGCCTCAGTGATGGGGGTGGAGTGGGTGGGGGGAGGTGTATGGGAAACATTATGAATAATTCTGAGATGCTTACATTCATGAATATTAACATTGTGCTCTTAGGTAATTCCCCTAGCATAAGTGGTGTTTGCAGAAGATAGTAATACTGGTTTCCTAACTCCTTAGACATGCCCGTGTTGTGGCGGCCTGCTTGGGCATTGGGTTCTATCTTTGGTTGCTAAGTTGTAGGGACAGGATAGGGCTTGGATGGCCTGGCGAGGTTAAGGACTCCTGTGTGATGGCAGCAGGTGGAGGGGGCCAGGAGAGGTCTTGACTTTGTCTGTACTAGAGGAGTGAGATGAAGGAAGGACCCCAGGCTATGTGAGGGGGGACTTTTAGCGATAGGCTGAGAAGTTTGCTGTGTGGTTGGATAGGAGGCACTGTGGATTGTTACCGGAACCTGGGGGTGGGGGTGAGGGTGGACGTAGGAGTTAACGCATTGGGCTGCTTGAGCCGCATGGTCGGTAGTGTGAGACCACCAGCAGCTCCTCAGGAGACATGGTGGGCTCTCTGCCCACAGTGGGTCGCTAAGAGTCAGCACTGACTCGATGGCAGTGAGTTTGGTGGCTTGTGAAGCGGGCAGAGACTGCCTTAACAATGTAGTGACTGGACGGTCGTGGCCTGGCTTTGAGGGTGGGAGCCGTGACCACTAGGCACCAGCACAGGAAGATGTCTGAGAGCATGTATTGCTTGGGTGGTGCATTTGGCAGCCAAAAGCCACCCTCAGCCTTTTGAGACGGCCACACCGTCAGAGCTCTTTTATGACTGCATGTCCTCTCCCTTCCCAGGTCCAGAACAAGTTGCTGCTGTCTGCGTGCCACTTACTTGTCTCACTCGCCACCACAGTGCGGCCAGTCTTTCTGATCAGCATCCCTGCGGTACAGAAGGTGTTCAACAGAATCACTGACGCCTCTGCTCAGCGGCTGGTTGACAAGGTGAGGCCCCAGGCATCCTGTCCCAGGATCCTCAGAGCTGGGAGGCTCAGACCTAGGGAGCCTGAGGTGTAGTAAGCTCACAGGCCTTGCCAGCCACACGGATTTCTTCTGTTTGAGGCACTGGTGTGGCCCGCAGTGGTCTCTTGTCATGCCCTTCATAATTCCAGTAGTCAGTTTGCTAGGTGGGGCAGAAAACCATTCATTCCAGAGAGATGCCACTTACGGCCTTTGAGAGCTGGTCAGTCGGCCCAGCGTGTGAGGCCCCTGTCTTTTTAGTGTTATCGTCTCTAGGAAAGCATGTCTCGTAGAATCCTCTTAGAGGCTACACGTTGAAAAGCAAGCCCAAAACCAAGCAAGTAAAGAAAGGGGTCAGGGGAACAGCTGCAGCAGTTATTTCCGAGGTCCTTGGAGGTAAAGGTCATGTGGCTGACCTGGTACCACAGGCACACTCATCATGAAAGCCTTGTACCCAGGAGCTCCTCCAAGGGGGTCAGAAGCCGAGGGGACAGTGAGACTCCAGTCAGCCATGGTTTTGCCCACCAGTGCTCCAGGCCCAGGCGTGGCTGTTGAGGCCAGGGTTGCTGCAGTGCTGAGCCCCTTTTTTTCCTGACCGGAGTGTGTGATGGATGCCGAGCCCCTGGGTCCCAGGGGCTGCTCTGCTTGCTGTCTCTCACTCTGTGAGCTGTGAGCTCCTTCATGCATGCCTCCGGTGGTTTCTCCAGGCTCAGGTGTTGGTGTGCCGGGCCCTCTCCAATATCCTGCTGCTTCCATGGCCAAACCTTCCAGAGAACGAGCAGCAGTGGCCCGTGCGCTCCATCAACCACGCCAGCCTCATCTCCGCGCTCTCCCGAGACTATCGCAACCTGAAACCCAGTGCTGTCGCTCCTCCCAGGAAAGTGTCACTGGAGGACAGTGAGTATGGCCCTGAGGGCAGACCTGGGAGGGTGGGCATCCTGGCTCTCCCTTGTTGGCAGGCAGCTAGCTTTCCACCTGAGGCTCATGAGATAAATTCATGGGTCCAGAGCCACACAACTGTCTGTTTTTGGGGAGTGGAATCCTGCTACTTCCATGGAATTCAGATAAGGCCACATTAGTTGGACATACTTCCTGAATGCAGGATGACCCTTCTCTTATTTTAAATGTAAAAATATTGAAGACCTGAAGAAAAAAGTTCATACACTGTTCATGATGCTTCCCATCAATAAAATAAATTTTATATTGGTTATTGATCCATTTCAGAGCTAGCTATAAGCAAGCAAAACAGTTCATTTGTACAAATTAGGAACTCCTGCTATTAAAGTTGCTTTTACTTTTTCTCAAATACAAATATTTCCAAGGCTTTGAAAGAGCTGGGTGCCTTTCTAAAGGGGACTGTATGTCTTAATTGTTCACATTAAAAGAAGAGCAAAAAATCAGAACCAAGAGAACAGTTTTTCAAGTAGATTTCAGGAATGTTTTAGACATATTTTTAAAATAATGATTTTCACATTAAAACTATAAGTAGTATAAAAAGAAGCTCCTAAAGCCCACCAGTTTAAATATTTTAGAAAGTGAATAATTCAAGTAGTTGTGGCTTCATCTTCCTTTTTCTGTTTTAAAGCCCCCTTGTACCGTATTACCGTTGGAGTCAGAGCAGCTGCGTTCCCGAGGGGCACGCTGCACTGGCCAGTGGTCTCTGGTGTTGGTCTCATCCCGAGTTTGAGCGATTTACATCAGTCAGCTGCTCATTGTCACTCCTGACACGCCTCTCTAGTCTTGCCTGTAAGGAACCTTCTGCTTGTACTTTGTCCAAAGAAGATCTGTTTGTTATTTCGGCAGTCCGTGGTACTGTGAAGATTCATCGCCAGCTCCACAATTCAAAGGCATCGTTTCTCTTCGTCTTCCTTACATGCATGAGAGGCCCGTGGCTTAGGCCCGGTGCGCCTCACTCGCCAAAGTGTAACAGCCAGTAACAGCCTTGCTTTTCAGCATTCTCACCTAGTGGCACCAGTTTTGCCACATTTGTCTCCTTGCCCTCTTTCTCTCCTTTTGGTTTTCCTGAGCCATTGAAAGTTGTACACTTTGACACTTGATCAGTAAATGATTTGTCTCTGTAAGAGGAGGCTTCAAAATACTCATGGACAAGTGGTACAGAAAGATAGGAAATTTTTCTACACACATAGAGTTTTGAAACCTCCTTCTATAGGAAAACAAAAGAGCTTATATAACCAAAACACCATTAATACAACAAAGATGTTTATTCTTGTTAAGATGATATTATGTAATATACGGACTAATTTCAAACAACAATTATTAAGAATTGTTTTATGCTGGGTTGGGTGGAAATTTACAGAGCAGATAGTTCTCGGTTCCAGCAGTTCATACACACTGGATGGGTGACCCTGATTGCAGTCCTCACAGGTAAAAGCCCTATTCCCACTGGTTCACAGCTTCCGCTCCCTTTCTGCCTTCTGGGCGTGTGTCTGTGTCCCGTCCCCCCCAATGCTGCCCTTTGGCTCTCATTGCCTGATTGTGTTTCCACACTCACAGGTTCCCACTTAGACCAAAATAACCTGTCTCGGCTTTTAACAATCCAGGATACAAGCAAGGATCTGGTGTGATAATTGGTTGTCACATCTCCTTAACCTCTTTTGATAGCAGGGAGAAAAATTATCCAAAACTTCACTGCTGCAAGGTAGCTTCCTACTCATAGCAGTCTTAGAAGACAGAGTAGGACTTCCCCGGTGGGTTTCTAAGGCTGTCACTCTTTGTGGGAGCAGGAGGCCTCGTCTTTCTCTTGTGGCTTGGCTGATGGGTTCAAGCTGGTCACTGTTTCATTGTGAATTAGGTCGAGGCTGGCATTTCAGGGCAGCAACTTTGTGTTCACCACTGGTCAAAGCTACTGAGACTGTAGTTAGCAACCCAGAGTGCAACCACTGGCCACCAGGACACCGCCTTTACAGAAAAGCACCTTGTTTCTCAGTCACGGCAGCGATGTTTTCAAAGAGCCAGTGCCATCGTTGTGTTTTGATTTGTTGTAGCATGCCCCCTATAATCTAAATTTTTTTCCCTGTTGATTATATTTAGGTTGAATATTTTGGCTGCTGCTCCGTTTAATCACTTGTTTGGGGCAGTGCCTGCAGGCTCTCCTTTATAATGTCCTTTGCTCCTAAGCCGGGAAGGCTTGGGGTCACAGAGGAAGAGATGGAGTCAGCAGTTCAGTTGGTGCCGGAATGGCTCCAGGTCCCTGCTGCCACATTGCCTCTTTGGCCTTACAAGTATCGTTGTTCATGTGTAGAGCTGATGGTTTCACAGCGTCCTCTGATGTGGCCGCACCCTCCTGTGTGCACTTGTTTTCCTGTTCACATTTTCGGGGGCTTTCAGGTTTTCATTTGCACATTTTTCTAAGTGAACTTTGCTTGGTTCTTGTTTCATTTTCCATGAATACCAGAGTTAGGTTTGGGTCTCTGGACTCAACCAGCTTTGCCCTTAAACCGTTTCCCCTGGGCATTAGTTTCAGAACCATCTCTGCCCGCAGTGTGGTTTCCTGCTGGCTGAAGGCCCATGTGTGTGTACACACTGTGTGTGCGTGTACACACTGTGTGCGAGTGAACCCTGCCTCCATGGTATGGCTGTGCTTTTTATCTGCCCTCCCTAGGGTGCTGTGGCCAGCCTGCAGTGTCCTCAGTCTTAGTACCGTGAGTAAGGTGGTGGTGTCTGAGGAAAGCCAACCTCAGCATCCATCAAGTAGCACCAGGCATTGATCCTGATCCATCCCACATCCAAGAACTTTGTCTTCTCTGCTGTCATCCTCTGTGGAAGCTGCTTTAGCCCCACAGGTGCTGGTGGGCTCTCGGGTCCAGGACAATTCAAAGTGCTGCAATGTAGAAGTTCAGAAGTCCAGCTGAGCTCTTGTTTGACTGGAGTCAGTCAGAGCTGAGTGTCGGTGAGGAAACGGGAGTCACCGCTCACCTCATGTGGCTGCAAGAGGTAGATGGAGAAGCCAGCTCCAAACCAGCACACAGCCAATTGCCCCGAGGTGGAAGTGGGACACGGCTCCATCCTGTCCTCCTCTTCTCGGTTCCCACACCAGCCATTCCGTCCATGGCACTCTTTCTCTCACTTCTAGATTCATTCATCGCTGGCAGTGCCCACAGAGAACTCACGGCCAGTGCTCACGATTCTGGTGATTCATGAACAAAGTTAGCAGGTTCCCTCAAGCCAGGGTCAGACAACATGAAGGACACAAGCGGTGGTCCCCCTCATCACCGCCTCTCAGCCACGTGGTCCCACAGCCTCTGCCTCCCTTCATGTGCTTTCCTCAGACACCACCACCTTACTCACGGTACTAAGACTGAGGACACTGCAGCCCCGCATGCTGTTCTCCCTCACCGTTTCCTGGTCTCCGGCCTCAGTGCTCCTGCCCCTGGTGCCCGCCCCACTTCAGACAGCATCTTGCCTGCACAGGTAGCTGTTCTTTCTTGATGGCCGGGGACTTCTTCACTTCACCGTCTCTGATGGCTCCCTCCTGTGCAGAGGAGTGGTAGGGACTGACCAGACCCCTTGGTGAGCCCTCACAGGCATTAGGGGGGAACACAGAGACACAGATTGAAGAGTTGGGGGTCACGCAATTTTGTTTCACCACAGGTAGGCTCAAGCCAAGTGTGACGTCTCTCTCCTGGGCATCCCCTGCCAGACACGTGGCTAGCGTCCTTCTCAACCTTGTCTCTGATTTTCATAGCTGCAAGGATGGGGGTGGGTGGGTGGGGCAGCTGTTGCGGCACGTCATATGGCATCGAGTGACCATCTGTGGTTCGTATCCGGGCTTCTCTGGTCCTGGTGCATTGCTGTGTCCTCTGCGCCACTGCCCCCAGTTTCCCATCTGAGTGCACTGCGTGCAGCTCAACAAGCTCATCTGTCCATGTATTGTGAGAATTGCCACCTCACTCACAGAATTCAGAGTGAGATCAAACACCAGCTCGATAACATAATGCAACATAATTTTATATGTGAGAGTAAGTCAGGAAGTACTGCTATAAAACAAAAATATGAAGACATAAAGCTATTGTGTCCTAACATATCCTCTGTATAGGTCTCGACACCTCTGAAGGTGATGTTTCTATATCTGTAACCTTTCACCAGAGGGTTCTGTGCTCTGATTACCACGACTTCTACATGGCAGTCTGGACTTCTTCTGGGCACTTTGATCATGCGCCTTTCCATTGTTCTTGGAGATCTGGGAACAAGACTGGAGGGGCAAGATCAGAGCTGCAGGGTAGATGAGGTGGTTTCCTAGTGAACCTCATACAGGACGACCCTTGTAGAATGAGCAGAGCAGGTATGTGGTCTTGATTAGAAAAACAAACACACCCTCAGGACAGCACATATTTCTTGACATCTCCCCCCTCCCCCCACTCCCCTAATGCAGTTTTCTATTTTCTTAAAACTTTTCCCTAATAAGCCCCTGTGATCATTCTGTGTCCTCTGAGAAATTTTATTAAGTTTACCTCCTGGGAATCCTAAAAACCAGTCATGGTAACCTGAGCCGACCTCTCTGCCTAGAGTGTAACTGGCCAGCAAGCCCCTCGGACGCCACGGTTTGGATTGAGCCTTGTTTTTGGATGAATTGGTAAACTCACGGCTCTCCTCAGGAGTAATTTCATACAAGTCTTCATGGGCTTCTGTTTTGCTGGTGGAGAGACCGGTGGAGTGATGAGCTCTTTGAGATAGCTGATCTCCACACCATGCTCTTGACATCTGTTGAGGTCAAGATACTTGCTTAACACAGAAAATGCCAAACCACACAAGACCCCCAACCTTTCGTGGCTGTTGCTTCAATTCCATCTCTACCAGATTCTTCTTTCAGCTTCTAGACTTCAGCTACAAGCCTTCCCTCACAGAGGTTGATGGAGCTTCCCTCTGGGCTTATCTTTAAGTCTTCCTGCCCTTCCAGATGTTCTATGGGGAGCAGCGGCATGCCTGTAAATTACTTGGCATTGTTAGTGCTTTGGGAAGATGTCTTCTGCTTGAGTTTTGTTAAGCATTTGAAATTAGCTTGGACCTCAAAATATTTTTCCTTGGCACAAAAAGAGTCCTTTTTATTTGAGGGCCCCGTGGTGAGCCTTCAACAGGTGTGTGAAGGAGGGAGTTTGCACCTTCGCTCGTGGATCACAGAGACAGGCTGGTGTGGAATAAACCGCTGCGTGGATGGGCTGCAATCTTAGTATCCACACATTCTGACGCACCCTTATGTCTGTGGGCACAGGTCTGTAGGCCAAGGACTAATCGGGCAGTTACTCCTGCACCAGCCATAATATTATGTACTCAGGGCCAGTGACTGGTGGACTGCCAGGCCAAACGAGTCTTTCGAGTTGCCGGAGAAGTTTGATCTGCATTTGTCCATTCGTAACCAGGTGTGCAGGCTGGGTCCTCTTAACCAGTAATGGCGGAGGTGCATGTATACAGAAAGAGACTTCTATCAAGTAGTGGCTCCCACGGTGGTAGAAGTGGGTATGTGCAGTCCAGTTAAAGTCTGTGGATCAGAGGATCAGTTGGAGGCTTCTCTAGATTCATGGAGCTGCAGGGCCTGGTGAATCAGGAAGCACAAAGACTGCAGGCTGGTGGATGCACAGTCGAATGAATCCAGGGCCAGCATCCCGCTGATGGTTCCTGAGATCTGCAGGCAGGGTGACAGGAGGTCGGGGAAAGAGATGCAGGATCCAGACCCAGTCAAAGTGAAGCTTTCCCACAGAATCTGCTTATGAAGGAGCAGGCCGCACACCACGGCTCTGTCTGACCACTGCATGAAGGCTGTAAGCTGATCAGGGGGCCAGCGTGCCACCCCAGCTGCTGGCTGCTCACAGAGCTGACCTCTTATGTTCGACCCTGTTACAGAGTTGATGACGTGGTGTGTCTTTTCTCTCTTGGTGGATTCTATTCTGGTGGGGAGAGGCAGGATCAAGGCAAGCAATCCAGCAGGCAGAGACAGTTGCCATGCTGGCCGTTGAGAACAGAAGGAAGGAATGGTTAGGGAGTGAGAGAAGGCTTTGGAAGGAGAGAGCTGCACAACTTAATCCAAATGCGCTATGTGTTGCTTTACGAAGTTTCCGTGTGGTGATCCTCTTAATGCCTTTGTGCACATCCTCCCATGTCCTGTTTATCCAATCTTGACTTTCAGCCAAAGCCATCATCCACCAGACACTGGGGGTCTTGGAAGATATCGTGGACAATATCTCTGGGGAATCCACCAAGTCCCGGCAGATCTGCTACCAGTCACTGCAGGAATCCGTGCAGGTCTCCCTGGCCCTCTTTCCAGCTTTCATCCATCAGTCAGGTGAGAACTGGCTTAGTGTCCTTATTGGGCGTGGGAGCTAACCAGAGCCCAGTGACTGCTCAGCTGCCCAACACACAGTGTTCAGGGCTCGGGTGCAGACATGGGTGGGTGGGAGGCTGGGCTAGGGTCCCTGGAAAAGTGCAGCCTGTGTCACGTGGCCCGAGTCCATTGGACTTGATTCTGAAGTCTTTGCCTTCCCCCAATAAGGAACATAAAAGTCTTGTAGGGCATCATGCAAAAGAGAGGCGAAAACGTTTTCAGATGAGTTACCATTCATTCATTATGTGGCGAGGTGAGTTTTGCTCCCTCACCCCACCCCCTCACTGCCACTCTGTGGAAGGCCCTGAGAACCTTCTCAGTAGGTCTGTGGGTCCCGTGAGGAATGTCAGGGATTGTGAATAGACTGTATGTGGTTAGAGCCGAAACCTCCTGTCCAGGATAATTTCCTGGGTCTCAAAGTGAAACTGCACTAAATGTGACTGGTATTTTCATCAATTAATCCACTTAATGGACCAGAGCCACGCAGCCTGAATACACCCTCATTATCCACTTTGAGCCACTTAGCCTCCGACCCAACTGCAGGGAGGATTGGTCATGGAGAGAAATGACTACAGCACTTGGGTGGTGAGCACAGAGCGCTCCATCTGCAGGGAGAGCTCTCGGCAGCGAGGGAGGCTTCACGACGACCTTCGCTTCCCAGCGAGCCCTCAGAAGTCCATCGCACCAGAGCGGTTTTCTCAGCATGTCCTTAATCATGTGCCACTTGCCCTCATTGGTTCTGATGGTGTTAGGAGATTTCCCCCCAGCAGGAAGCCTGAGGAAGATGAGAGTGCAGATGGCAGTGGAACGATGGACGACCCAGCCAGGGTTCCTGTTCATCCCAAGTGCGCCCTTCAGATCCTTCCCTTTGTCCTTTGTTTAGATGTGACCGATGAGATGCTGAGCTTCTTCCTCACTCTGTTTCGAGGCCTTAGAGTACAGATGGGCGTGCCTTTCACGGAACAGATCATACAGACTTTCCTCAATATGTTTACCAGGTAACCACAGATCGCCTGGCCATGGTTCTCACAACAGCGTGTCGGCTTGTTGGTGGTGCTTCTCTGACACAGCGTTGAGTTGTGCTCGCCCCTTAGCAGATATTTCTTTGTTACTGTTGCTGTCACGCTAACAGACAGCAAATGATTCTCTCCCACTTTAGGGGGTTAGGAGTCCAAATTCAGGGTGCTGGCCCTAGGGGAAGGCTTGCTTCTATCTGTCAGCTTTGCGGGAAGATCCGGGTCTCCACATCTTTGGGCCTGGCATTCCTTAGAGTTCCATGTGTCTCGGCATCAGTGTCCTGGGGGTAGGAGGGTCTCAGCACAGGATCCCCAGGTCCAAAGGATGCTCTTTGCTCACGCTCTCTGTCCTTGGTGGTAGTCAGGTTTCTCCTCTGTTTCTCTCCTCCAAGATAAAAGGTAATGTAGGCCACAGTATGAGATCAGAACTGTGGCCTGTGGAAGGGTTTTGCCTCTCAACTGTAATCTCCTTTGCACTTATGAGCTGATCGCGTCATTACTGGAGACTCGTGGTCCAGGCGAGTAGACAGGCACTCTGGGGGACTGCTCAATGTGAGTTCCTGTGTGCTTCCCTCTGTGTGCAGAGAACAGCTGGCCGAGAGCATCCTCCACGAAGGCAGCACAGGCTGCCGGGTGGTCGAGAAGTTCCTGAAGATCCTGCAGGTGGTGGTCCAGGAGCCTGTCCAGGTGTTCAAGCCCTTCCTCCCCAGCATCATCTCCCTGTGCATGGAGCAGGTGTACCCCATCGTTGCGGAGGTAGGAGAGGCTGCGTTGGTCCCTGCGTTGCCTCCTCTTCTGTGATTAGGAAGGGAGTGAAAAATCCAGGAAAATGCAGGGTTGTTTTTTTTTTGTTTTTTTTTAAGATTTTATTTCAGTTATTTATTCATTCATTCATTCATTTATTTATTTTGTTGGGGGCTCGTACAACTGTTAGCACAAGCCATCCATCCATCCATCCATCCATTGTGTCAAACATATTTGTACATTTGTTGCCATCATCATTCTCAAAACATTTGCTTTCTACTTGAGCCCTTGGTATCCGCTCCTCATTTTCCCCTCTTCCTCCCCACTCCCCCCAGCCTTCATGAACCCTTGATAATTTATAAATTATTATTTTGTCATAACTTAACACTGTCTGACGTCTCCCTTCACCCACTTTTCTGTTGTTCATCCCCCATGGAGGAGGCTATATGTGAGATCCTTGTAATTGGTTCCCCCTTTCTACCCTCCCCTCCCTCCATCCTCCCAGTATCTCCACTCATACCACTGGTCCTGAAGGGATCATCCATCTTGGATTCCCTGTGTTTCTAGTTCCCATCTGTACCAGTGTACATCCTCTGGTCTAGCCAAATTTGTAAGGTAGAATTGGGATCATGATCGTGGCGGGTTGAGCAAGCATTTAGGAACTAGAGGAAAGTTGTATGTTTCATCGTTGCTACATTGCACTGTAACTGGCTCATCTCCCCACAACCCTTTTGTAAGGGGATGTCCGTTTGCCTACAGATGGGTTTTGCGTCCCCAATCTGCACTTCCCCTCATTCACAATGATTTGATTTTTTTGTTCTTTGATGCCTCATACCTGATCCCTTTGACACCTTGTGATCACACAGGGTGGTGTACTTCTTCAGAAAATGCAGTGTTAATTTTTTATTTAAATCTTATAATACAGGTGTGTTTTTTGTTTTTTTTTTTAAGCGAGAATGCCTATTTCACTCCCACTAAGATGGCTAACATTATAAATACAAACAAATGTGTGGCTGGTGGTGTCCACGAGCAGCGGCCTCCTTTGCCAGGCTACCAGAAGAACTAGATGGTGCCCGGCGACCACTGCTGAGCATTTTGATTAAAGACCCCCTAGTGCAGTGACTCCCCACCTTCCTCATGCAGAGGCCCTTTCATGCAGTGTCTCATGTGGTGGTGACTCCTCCAACCATAAATTTATTTTTGTTGCTATTTCATCACAGTCATTTTGCTACTCTTATGAATCGGGCGACCCCTGTGAAAGGGTCATTCAACCCCCTAAAGAGGTCGCAACTCACAGGTTGAGAACTGCCCTAGAAGGAATCCTGGAAACTGCATAACATAATTTCAAATTCTTGTAGACTGTAGACTTTCTGGAATCCTTGGAAGTTGGATGAACCCCTAAAACCATGGCCCTGAGTTCCATCATTAGACCTTAAGTCAACAATAAATATCCTCTAAGGTTGTTTTAAAACCAGACAACAGTTTAGCTTAACTTGTTTAAAAGGTCTGCCTTGAGCATTATGTTCTTTTTAACAAAAAGCTATTTATATGGGTTCAAATGGACAACAGCTGCTTGAAACATTCGACTGGCCCCTGGGGGTGAGTGAGTTAACAGGGAGGAACCTCTCAGCACAGGGAGGTGACAATGACTGTACAGTGGCAGGTGGGATGAGTGTCACTTACTCGTACCTTCAAGGGCACTCGGGTTTGCAACAGCAAAATGACAATTAAAAACAAACACTCTTTAAAGGAAGCAGAAAAGAATGTTTCGGCTCCATACTAGTCTGAGAGCAGTGAGTTAGAAATAGTTCGGTGCAGAGATAGATAGATCAGTCATCACTAAGCTGGTCTGCCACCAAGGCATTTATGTAGCTGTCAGAAACCTCCATTGTTTTGTCGGGTGCTGCCCAGTCCGCTCACACTCAGGGACCCCATGTGGTAGAGTAGACCCGGCCCTGAACTGTGTTTATGGAAGCAGGTCTCCCGGCTTTCTCTCAAGGAGTGGCTGGTGGGTGTGAACTGCCAACCTTGTCGTTTGTAGCTGAGCACTTCACTGCTGTGCCAGCTGAGCGCTGTAAGAACCTTCCTAGTGGAAAGGATACAAGACAAGGTCTCAGAACCTTCCGGAGTGACAGGGAAGCTCTTGCGCTTAGAAACGGGGACACTCCACACAACAAACTATGTCCAAACTTGGAGGCCCGGTTTCCTCGTGCTTCAGCACATTTGTGCCCTAACAGGGTCCCTGCTGAAATGTCTATGCAGTTTGAATCCAATCTGTCTGGGGCTGTAATTGTTAACTCTGGAGAGACACCTGGACTAGTGCGACCTGTCTTGCTCTGGTCTGGGGGCTACAGGTTCAGTGAGCCAGTGCTGCCAAGTCCTGTACCTTCACTTCTCCTGCTGCTCCCAGAGCCCACAGTGCTCCAGCCCCACCCAGGGGACCTCTCTGACTGATGTCCTCTGGCTCCTCTCCATGGACCTCTCTGTGCACCTTCTTTGACTTGGGCAGCCCTGCTTTTAATGCACATGGATCAGCACTTCCTTGTCTTTAGCCTCAGGGATGTCTAAGACCAGACTACCTGGGACAGGGTTTTTTTAATCCTGGAAAAAAGACCACCAAACCAAAATGACAGGTTAGAGTGGCACCTTATGAATGGAAAGTCCGTATTTCCGATTGGCCACTCAGACGCCCTTGATCGTAGCTTATAGTTTCCATCACAGAAGGAATCCCCTGGCCCTGACCTGTGTGTTCCGCTTTCAGAGGTGGTCTCTGCCAAAGCCTTCCTGGTGTGGGTGGGAATGGTTGTCCACTGTAGGTCCCCCCCACCCCACCCCACCACCACCACCGGGGCCGCTCTGTGAGTCCCTGTCTGTCTCCACAGCGCCCCTCCCCTGATGTGAAGGCTGAGCTGTTTGAGCTCCTTTTCCGGACCCTCCATCACAACTGGAGGTATTTCTTCAAGTCCACCGTCTTGGCCAGTGTCCAGAGGGGGATCGCCGAGGAGCAGATGGAGAATGAGCCCCAGTTCAGTGCCATCATGCAGGTAACGTGGACCCTGGGACCTGGCCCAAGCATATGGCTCCACTGCCTCTGAGCTGGCTCTTGTGGCAAGTGCTGGTCTGGACTAGAGCGTAGCTCTGCCTCCTCTCTCGAGCCCTGGTCGCTTCATCTGCAGGAGGTGGGGCTTCTCATGAGGTGCGTGAAGTAGCCTGCACAGTTGGCACGCATTCACCAGCTGTGCTGACATTACTGGATGGAGTGTCTCTTGCCTCCTGCGGTTGCATCACTTGGGGTCTCCTGACTACAAACTGCCTGGAGAGAGAATTTAAAATCTTCCCCCCAGATCATTTGAGCTCCCTCCAGGCTAAGAGGAACTCTGCCGTGTGGATTCGTGTAGACAGACGCCCAACTGTGTCTGTAAGAATTGGCCAGGGCTTTGAAGCAATGCGGCCCTGGTCCATCATGGCCCGGAAGCATTAGTGGAACAGACGGGAGTTTGGAAAGTGATGTTGAACCAGAAAGATAGCTGGGACAGGCAATCCCAGGCCGAAGCTTGGCTGGAAACAGACTCCCCCTCAAGGTGAAGATCAGTGTGTGACGGGCGTGAAGTGCAGTCTGCAGCAGCGCTGCCCAGCTCAGGGGGGGTGTCTCTGCTCGCACGCTGCAGGCTCCTGACCGAGAGGCCTGGTGAGGGTCTCTGGAGCCACCTCTGCCAGGGCTTGGGCCTGTTCTCTTTTCTGCTCTGGGTTCCACCCCAGACCCGCCCAATTGCAGAACTTTGTTCAGATCTGTGCTTGCTTGGCTGTAAACATGTACGGGTTTAAAGGTGGAGAGGGAGCCTTCTGTAAGTTGGACGGTTGCAACCTGGGGGGTGCCTGTTCTTTCCGATCATGTGTGCTGGTACTCCCCAGGTGGGCACTGCCTTGGGGTGCTGGGGAAAGCTGCGGGCACGCGGGCTGGTCTGTGGCTGTTGAGGCCCTCTCTTGTGGGCCATGCAGAGCTGCGTGTGAGGAAAGGGTCCTAGTTCTGTTTGTTTGGCTCTGCAAACACCAACTTTCCCTCCTGGGAACCAGGGGGCTTTCTGCCCGTCTTCCGTCTAGCCCTCAGCAGCCTGGCTGCCCTTCCTTCTCGGATAACCCACTGGGACCTAGAAGCTCCTCAAAACCCAACTCCCTGTCATCGAGTCAATGACGACGCACAGGCACCCTTCCCGGAGAGAGCACAGCTGCTTCTTTGGGCTTCTGACATCGGAAGTCTTTGTGGGAAAGATACCAAAAGCCTCATCATTCTCCCTTGGAGCAGTTGGTGTATTCAAACCGCTGACCTAGGGGTTGCTCAGCAGCCCAACTCGTAAGCCAGGGCTCCTCTGAGATCAGGTTTGGGCTGGAAGTATTCATGGGTGACCCTTCCACACTCCCTGTGCAGTCATCTTTGCTTGTAAGTCTCTGTGGCTAATTGACATCCATCCCTCTCTCTGAGCTGGTAACAGCTGCCTTCACAGCGTGGCAGCACAGCATTTTTCCTAAAGAGAGGAAAGATGATTTGTACGTGCCCGCAGCTGAGGACTGTGCACCAATGATGGCTGCAATCACAGTCACGCAGCCTGTACACACACGCTTGTCACAACTGCTATGATCGTCACACACTGGGAACAGGGTGACTGCATCAACAGACGGTGGTGGCCACACCGTGGAGGAGCACTTGCCCATGCCGAGAGCAGCCTGGGCCCTTTCAGGTACATTCTGGGATGTGGGAGGTGCCATCTCCACAGGGGCACAGTGCACCTGCCTTCATTTCTGTGCCACCCTGGAGACGGCAGCACTGTCGGGGCTGCCTCCAGTGCGGCTGGTAACCCATCTGTGTCGTCTGTGAGAGCTCAGGCAGTGGTGAGTGGTCCGTAGATGATGCTTTGAAAAAGAAAAAAAGTGGAATCATCCCGGTTGGCCCATGGCTGCAGCAGGGAGTACAAGATCCCTTCTTGTTTAGGGAACCTGGAAGCCCTGGGACAGAACAACAGAGCAGTTAGTTACCCGCTCATTCAAGACGGTTTCCTGGAGACACGCGCAGGCACACACAATCGCACACACCAGGAATGTTAGTGTTTTGTCTCTGAACTAGTAACATCTGCAACCTGAAGATGGCCAAGAGTTTCAAAATCTGCTGTTGCTTCACTCCAAGTAGAGACAGCGAAGAGGTTGTGTTTGGTTCATAAAGCTTGGGCAACCAGGGAGAGGAGCCATCTCTGGAGTGGGATGGAGTTTGGTATTTAACTAGAGTTGTTGGTACATCAAAGGTCTCAACGTTTGTCACAAAAGGGCAAACAGGATGAAAATAAGAGGGGCGGCCCAGTGGGGAAAATTGGGAGCTAGGCCTTGCTCCTGCCACTGGCACAGGGACACGGAAGGGCTCACTCTGGAGATGTTGGAATGTCCTTCTAAGTGGTGGTCCTGCTTCCTAGGCTTTTGGGCAGTCGTTTCTCCAGCCCGACATCCACCTGTTTAAACAGAACCTGTTCTACTTGGAGACCCTCAACGCCAAGCAGAAACTCTACCACAAGGTAAGAGCCCCGCCCTCCGGGAAAGGCTTCTCCTTCTTCGAGTCTGCCTGGACCCCAGCCCCTGCTGACGCCCGCCTGTCTGTGTGTCTGCAGCAGCTCTTCCGGAGCACCATGCTGTTCCAGTTTGTGAACGTGCTGCTCCAGGTGCTGGTCCGCAAGTCCCACGACCTCCTGCAGGAGGAGATCGGCACCGCCCTGTACAACATGGCCTCGGTCGACTTCGACGGCTTCTTTGCAGCCTTCCTCCCGGAGTTCCTGAGCAGCTGTGATGGCGTGGACACCAACCAGAAAAATGTGCTGGGACGGAATTTCAAGATGGATCGGGTGAGACACGAAAGAGGCCAGGCTCACGGGAGGGCCAGTGGGGGTCTCTTGGGCCTTGTGCTTGGTCAGCAAGGAGGCAGGTTGTCGCAGGGGCTCTGAGGTCACCCTGTGGGCTGGTGGTAGGTAGCTCGTGCCAAGCCTGGAGGGGTGGGCTCGGTGGTGGGCGCAGTGGTCCTAGTCTTGCCTTCTGGAGCACAAGTGTCCTTCCCACTGAGGAGGGCCCCAGCCAACGGGTCTGTCTCAGCCAAGGGTGAGCCTGTCTTGTCGTCTTGTCCCACCACCTCAGCTCACCTCTGCCCAGGCACGTCCTCGTGGTAGATAATGAGGTGCATTTGAGGTCACATTCATCACTCTTCGCCCAAACTTGCACACTCACTGACTGGCTGGCTGAGAGAATGGAGTCCCTGGGATTGGCGGGTGAGCCCTGCTGGTGCTGGTCTTCTTGCGGGGACCTGACTTCTCACCCCCGGGCCACCTTGGGAGGTGACATGCCCCCCGTTCCTGTATCTGACGTCCTTGGTAGCAGCCTGTGCTTCGTGGCCCTAGAGTCTTCTGAAAACTCTGCCCCCCTCGTGCCCTCTGAGACCTGCTTAAGCTAAACCACAGTTTTCCTCCACCGTCGTCTCAGGGATCCTCCTGTTTGCTTATCAACCTCCCGAATGTCACTTCAGCCGCCGGCACGTTTGTCTTCCTTTTCCTAGAGCCAAATTCCAGTGTGAGCTGATCTGTCTAGTGATGTCATCATGTCAGTTTCATTATTTAGCTCAATAACACCTGAATTTTTAATTTCAGGGAAAAATTTTTTTTAGTTTTTATTCTTTACTTTCATAGTTATCTATCTATATTAATATATACATTTAATTAAATGTTACGACAACGTCATGCTCGGCATTATAGGGTTACAGTGGTGACTTCCAGACCCGGGGTGCTTATTGCAAATACAGAAATGGACACCTGTATTCCACCCACCCCAGGAAATGGTGATCTAAAAAACATCCATTCCTGGTTTGTTTTCTGGGGGATGAACTGAGTCAAGGACCCCCAGCCATGGGTCCTTCCCTTTAGGGACTCTGGCGACACAGCACCCTCTGTGGGCTCTGCCGACGTGTCGGCTCACCAAAGCCTCTGAGGAGTGGGTACTGTCTGTCATGAACCCAGGCCCAGGGAGGTGGGCAGTTAGTCGGCAGTTGTAGAACTGGGAAGTGGCTCTGAAGCGCGATTCAGGCCCAGGGGTGGGGAGGGTGGGAGGTTTGAGCTGCCACAGACTCGAGTGCCCAGATGAGCCCAGAGCACTTAGAGACCTCTGAGCAGAGGTGCTGACCCACACAGCAGGGCCAGGACGTGGGGCGTATCATCACAGGGGTCTTTTGGAAGGTGGCAAAGTTGTTTGTTGTTTTTTAAAGAAAGGATGTTTGATTGAGAACCCTTAATGACTCCTGCAGTTGGTTAGAAGAGTGTTCCACAGTAATGAGAATGAGCAGCCTTTAGTCACATTAGTAACTGTAAGGTATAGATCAGTTCATCTACAGAAGTCCAGGAGCCAGCTAGCCAGTACAAGCACTTTGCAAAAATGCTTCTATCTACCCTTCAGAGGCAGGGACCATTAGTGTAGAAATATTCCTTCTGAGAACAGCTACTGCTTTACTCCCTCTCCCTTTTTCTCTCTCAGACATCAGATTAGCGTTTGTCCTGAACTCCCCTTTTTTCAGGTCTGGTGGCACATTCCCCTCTGATGAAACCTCTCCTGTTGTTGATCATCTCATCCATAATAGAATCAACTTTTCTGCAAGAGCCTTTTCCTGCTTTTTTCCAAAGTGGCTGTATCTTCACTTTGCTCTGTCAATAGGACTCAGCTTGAGAGTGGGTTGGTTTAGTTCACATCAGAGTAGCAGACAAGGCCATGTTCAAGGAACAATTTAGGCCGATGACAAACACTAAAGCTCAGTTAATCAATCTGCAGTCCTTCAGAGGGAAAGAAGGAAAAGACAGGCTGCTTCGTTGAGTATAAGTCTCCTCCCTGGCATATATCATCCTCCGGGTCTTTGTTGAACGTTTCATTGGGCTGTAGGTGGAAGTGTATGTTTTCCATTTATAACCCGTACCCTAATTCCTCTGTGACGTCATCTGCATTTCTGCCCCAGGCTCCCCATTTCCATGTGCTCAGTTTCTCTGTGCCGCCCCCCCTACCCCCCAACCCCCACCTTTTCAGCGTAGTTTGGGGCAGATGTTGCCCATTTGCTCGCATACAGCGGACTGTACTGAGGAGCACCTTCCTCCCGGGCTTGTAGAGTTTCTCGTCAAATCTACCACGGGATCCAAAGGTGGCCCTTGGTCGTGTTTAGTTTCCCGTTGGAAGGCAGTAACTTCGGGTAATGGTCTTGGATGATGACGTTGAGTTTTGTTTCACACTTTTCTCGCTCTCTAACTGGGACCTTCTGCCGTGTCTCTGCTCAGAGCAGTTGAAGTCTTAGCCAAGCATCAGCTAGCACGGGGCTCTGTGCTCAGCTAGCTGGGGCCCTGGTCCGCGGGGGCCGGCTGGGCTCATGTCCTCCTTGTTTCATAGAGCCCAGAGCCCACAGGCTGAATTCTGAACGAAGAACAGGTTAGCGGGCGGGTCCTGGGCTTGGAAGACTGGTGGGTGCCGTGGAGAACAACGGGGAGTGTCTGCATCTTGTTTCTCAGCCTACTTCTGCTACCTGGGGCTCCCCCTCCCTGCTCCTGGGTGTCAGTGGGGAGCACCCAGCCAGGCCAGGGCTCCACAGACACTGCCGACATGATTCCTCCTTGGGCCTCACAGTAAGCCTCTGACAACCGGGACTAGAGCACGTTCCCTAGCTGCTCCCTAGAAGGACAGGTATCGGGCAACTGGGTTTCTGCCTGGAGCCCTGGGGGGAGAAGGGCTTTGTCATTGCTGTCCCATTGAGTGGTGGGTCCCAAGGAAGGAGAGGGTGTGTCAGCCCGCAGGTGGAAGAGCCAGCGTGTGGGTTCAGTTTGGACCCCCTTCCCTTCCTCTAGTGTGGGGCAAGTGTGCTTCATCTGTAAAGTAGTGGCAAGAGCGAGGGCTGAGTGCTGTCTGTGATTGGCTTGGAGCGGGCCAGGTGCTGTGAGCTCTGTGAGAGCTGCCCCTCCCTCGGGCTTTGCCCAGAGCCTCTGTGGCTCCCAGTGTCCTGAGGAGTCGCGTTTGTGTGTGGTACAGGTCTCTGTCTGCACATCCTTCGGGGGTGGGGGTGGGGTGGAGCAGTAGCTGTTGAGGTGAGGGGGGTTGGGTGGAACCAGGCTGCAGCTGTGCCCCTGCCTTCTAGGACCTGCCCTCGTTCACCCAGAATGTGCACAGGCTGGTCAATGACCTGCGCTACTACAGACTCTGCAATGACAGCCTGCCCCCCGGCACTGTGAAGCTCTAGCCTCGGCCCTGCACGCCTGCGCGGCCTGCTTACCTCCTGAGGGGCGCCACCTCCTGCCGCTGCCACCGCAGAAGTCTCCCAGACCAAGACCGGCCACTCCTTGGATTCTCCCCCTCCTTCCACTCCTGGGGCACTGTTGTCTGCCCCTGTGTCCCCACCCTCCCCTCCCGCTGCCCACCCAGCTGACCTGGCTTCAGGGTGTAGCCTCGCCCTGGTTGGAGTTCTGGCTCCAGGGCACAGGGAGCAGGGGGAGCTGTGTGGCAGATGCCAGGGAGGTGCTGGGAAATTCCAAGAGGTGGTTCGCGTGGACCATGTGGGGACGGTCACGAGACAAGAATGCCCAGGACAGCTTTTGACAGTGGCACCTTCTCACCATTCCACTGCTCGGGTCCACCCCAGCCCAGCTGGCCAAGGAGAGACTTGAGCTTGGAACTATTTTGACGTTTCTGTCAAGTCCCCTCCCCCAATTTGCCTTCAAGTCTCTGCTCTTTGTCAGATATTTGCAAAGACTCCTGTTTTGTCTTGTTTTCTCATCATTCCATTGTGATACTGAGAGAAGCTGAATGAAAAATAAAATGCTTATGTTGTTGTTACATACACGCTGGTAAAGGGCTTCTTTTCTCCCAGGGCCTCTTTGGGCGGGCCTGGGCCCAGCCTGGGAGAGGGGACTCCCTGAGGGCGCCATCACTGCCTCTCCCCCCCATCCCCCTTTCCACACCCTTCTAGAAAACTTGCTGCTGGTGCCCTGCAGAGAAGCAGGGCCCCTTTCCAATGCTCAGCCGGTGGCAGAGGGCACAACATCCAGCCTGCCTGCCACTGGAGCCCCCAGTGCCCACCACATCTCTTACAAGCCACCATTGTGCGGCAAACTGACAGGCAAGTGGTATGTCAGTCTGGGTGGACTAGAGAAACAAATACATGGACTAGAGAAACAAATACATGGACACTGGTATAAGAAAGAGCTTTATATAAAGACCAATTGTACATTAAAACATCCCAGTCCAGATCAAGTCCATCAGTCTGATATTAGCCCATATGTCCAATACCAATCTATAAATTCCTCTTCAGACTTACGAAACACGTGCAGTGACACAATGCAGGAACATCACAGGTCAGTAGGAATGGGAACAGACCCTGCCCCCTGTGGGGAGTGAGGGCACCTGTAGCTAGGGGTGACGGTCTGGGCATGAGTCTGGGATCGGGTGGGGCCAGGGCCCTTTGGTGTCTAAGAACGGGCTGGAGCCTGCCTCAGTGCCAGTCCCAGCTTTCCAGCTGTGGGGGGTGGGATGGGGCAGCATTGCAGAGATCAGAGAGGAGGGGCTTGAAACTCCAGTTGTCCTTCTGTAGAAAAGAATTAGCACCCAATTATTCCTGGGCTTATACATACCACCTGCTGGGGAGGCTGGGGCTAAGACTGCTTATGCCCGACTTGAGGGGGCCCTTGGTGTGCAGGGTGAGGGGATGGGACTTCTCAGCTAGAGGGCCCTGCCCTTACCTGGGGGAATCGGAAGGTCCCGAGAGTGAGGTATAGAGCTGGAGGGTGTTTCTCCTGGACAGATGGACGTGGGCTCAGCGTGTGGATGTAGTGAGCTCCCCCGTCCTTGGAGGTGTGCAAGCAAGGGCTGAGGATCTGGAGACGGGGCTTCCTCCCTTAGGGGCAACCAGTTGCCCAGGGCGTGGATTTGGCCTCCTGACAGCCCTGCGTGCCCGCCGAATGGCAGAGTGGGCTCTCAGAGTTATCCCGTCAGCAGGCCTGTCTTCCAGAGCCCCTCCCCCGGCGTGTGTGCTCCGCTGGACCGGTGACTGCTACTACTGGGTGAGGCATTCAAGGATCTCGCATAAGGTTCCCTGTCTGGCTTCATAAGTAGGGCTTCTGGGCGGGATCAGTTCATGTCCTCAGACCCTCAGCAAACCCAGGAATTCCCTTTCCTGAGGGAAAGAGTGGGCGAGGGCTAGAGATGGGTGGTAAATCTCTGGACCAGTCTCCCTGGGCTGGTTTTGGGAGGGGCTTTTCTCCCAGACCGGCCTGCTTTCCAACCGTGGGGGTTCCCCACCGGGCCATCCTCCTGGCTCCTACCCTTCCAACCAAAGCCCGGCTCTGGGCTCCCAAGGGAAGGGGCCTGAGGAGCCCAGTCTGCCTTCCCCCGCCCTGGCTCCCACTGCATTTTCTCTGACGTTTCTTCCTCTCTCTCAAAAGTTTTAACAGTTGCATTGACATTTGACTCCCGTCGCAAGCATACAGTGCAGTTGTCTAAATATGCCCGAGAGAGTTGTGCCATCGCCGTCATCACCACAGTCCATCTCAGACATTTCTGTTTCTCTTGGCTGGTGAGGTTGCAGGAGAAGACGTGAAGAAGGCAGAGAACTCTTCACAAAGCCTTCGGACCCTCACTACCCAGAGGAAACCACTGCTCATAACTCGGTGCAGTCTCTTTCCCTAGAGCTATACAAACATACCTGGTTTTGATTTTTAAAAAGCTTTAAAAGATGTAGCCACTGAACGCGTGTGGCCATTTTCTTATGAAACACTCCATAAAACATGACTTTTAATGGCAGATGGTATGCCAGCATGTGGAGATGCCATCACTGGGTTGTAGGGTGCAAAAGGGACCCCACTCTCAAATACCGTTTCAGGAGAAGTTAGTAGATTTCCTGAAGAAAGGACAAAGACGGACATCACCCAGATGAGGGAGGCTGTTAGCCGAGGTCAAACGGCTTCTGAGAATTCCCAGTCAGGAAGCTAAATGAACGGGTCATGGCACAAAGGGAACTGTCACTGGTACAGGTGAGACTTCGGAAGCGCGAGCAGACCATGCTGGCTGGAGAGGGGCTGGAGGCCATCTTTCCAAATGCACCCTGCACGATTATCTACATCCTGGGTTAACGTTCAGGAGTTCAGTGGAGGCCTAATCTCCGTAGGGACCATGCAAATAAATGAATTGGGGACTGGCCTTCGCAAATGAGAATTTAAGCTTTAAAACACTTGGCTGTTCCACCCTTTAATCCCGATCAGGCGGTCGTGAGCATCTCCTGCTTGCTCATTGCCGTGGGTTAAATGCCCAGGTGTGAGATTTGTGACTGGTTGTGACTGACGGGGTGTGATGGAAAGATGAAGGAACAGCACCGACGTGGGCATCACAAAATGCCTGTGCCAGAGGCCTCACTGAGACCACCGAGCAAGGAGCCTCTGGTTTTGCGGGTCTTGAAGGCCCAGGGCTTCCCGACTGGGTAGCGGCAATACTGGACCAGGGTTTAGAGCTGCTCCGTGCCTTCTGCCCGTTTCTGAGCAGCACGATGACATCCAGGCTCCCTCCACTCTTGACAGCGCTTGGGGAGCGTTAGGAAGGTTTGATGGAGGCACAGAAGTGCCCTACCCACAACTCAGAAAGGTGTCTCAGGACTGTCCCCGATGTGGACAGCTCATAGCCAGGATGTGTATCAGGAATGACCCCAGAACTCTGCCAGGGACGCTGGATGGAGCTGGTGGGCGGGGGAGGGGGCGTGTCAATGGCATTCCCTCTATAATCCTCACCTGCTGCCATGCCCACACCCCAGTGGAACTACGTGGTGCCCTCTGAGAACTTCCCGAGGGCCAGGGTGTGGCCCAGAGTCTGAGTCCTGGCTCTGTGCCCTCTGACATTCCCAGTTGTCATCACCTTTTTCAAGGGCCATGCCTCTAGTTTTGGCCTGAGGTGGGGCGGAAGGTATTGGAGGGAGGCTGTGTAAAGTCACTGATCCAGGACAGGTGAGACACCGGGTCTGAAGTGGGGGAAGGAAGCGGAGGCTCCAAAAGCCCTGGTTCCCCCGGGAAATAAGCCCCTCACTCTGGCCCCCAGACTGGGAGTGCTGGGCTGCCCCATGGTGTCCGCCTCCTCGGCTCTGATCCCCACCAGGCATTCTCTCCAGACTGCTCGTGCCTCGGCAGGTCTGATCCACGTGGCTCCAGCAGCATCAAAGCCATCACATAAGCCCCTTTGCTCTAGATTTTCTCCACTGCCATCAGGGAAGGTGGAAGCTTCAGGCACCCGTGGCAGCTCTCACTAACATTTCCCCATGCCCTCTCCTGGTGGCGGGGGCTGTAAGCCAGCCTGAGAACTTGTTTGTCCTCAGACAGCAAGGGGTCAGTTTGGGATCTTCCGTCCTGAGGGTCCAGTGTTCTATTGGTCTAGGAATGGGTGTCAGTAGAGCTGGGTCTGAGGACACAGGTCCATTCCCCAACTCCATGAAGATCCGTAAGGAGCATCCCCTGAAGTCACCTTGGGGGGGAGGGGGGAGGGCAGCAAACAATTTCAACTGAAGAAGAACCCATGTGCCTGAATTACAGTGCTGGAAGAATACGGCAAGAACCACACACTGCCAGCAGAGCCAACGGACCTGTCTCAGGAGAAGTACAGTCAGAATGCGCCTTAGAGGCAAGGATGGCAAGACTTCTCAAGTACACTGGTATGTTGCCAGGAGAGTCAAGTCCCTGATGCCATCCGTGGTAGAGGGGCAGTGAAGAAGAAGGCTTTCATCGGAACCACTGTGAGGATGTGCAGGCCCGTATAGTGTTTTGTTCTGTTGTACACTGGGTCGCGATGGGCTGGAGCCAGCTCGATGGCCGGTGCCACACTGTACCAAGAATACCCGGCTGCAGAGCGGAGTCTCACCCACCCACCACTCACCCAGTGGTGCCTTGAGGAAGAAGTTTCTTTTAACTTGTATAAGGCCCGTTGGAACGTTAATGGATTAGTTTACCCTGAAGAGGCTGTCTTAACATCTGTAGAGAGTGAGTTCTGTGTATCTGGAAATAGAAACGTAATATATGGTTTCCCTGCACTCTGCCTCGCCAGAGCAAAATGACATCAGTGATGGATACACATACCTTTTGGGCCTGTCCAAGTCAGCCAGAGCCCGTATGTTTTGTCAACTGCTCTATTCCCTTTTTGTCAACTGCTCTATTCTCTCTCTCTCTCTCTCTCTCTCTCACACACACACACACACACACACACACACGACTTGTGTTTTTATCACAATGGTGTAAAGATGTGTGTGGCAGGGTCCTTTCGAGAGGACAGGGACCATGTCTGTCCATGTCTCAGACTCTCAGCACCACCTGCTGGCTGGCTGGCTGGCTGACTGACTGGTTGAATGGCTGACTGACTGGTTGGAAGGCTGACTAACTGGTTGGTTGACTGGTTGGATGGCTGATTGGCTGACTAACTGGTTGGCTGGCCGATTGACTGGCTGACTAACTGGTTGGTTGACTAGCTGACTGCGTGATGGGTAATATGACTGTGTCCTTGAGCCTAGTGTGAGGAGAGAAGTATAAGGTCAGATGTTCTCGGTCTCTGAGTTAGTTAATTGTGCCAGCCTGGCCGATAATCACATGTGATGCTGGTTGAAAGGCGGAGGGATAAATGGGTGGTGAAGCCTCGCCTTTCTAGTTCTCGGGTCTCTTGTTTTGTGATGGTTGCATCGGGTGCAGCTGCCTTAGCAGTTCCCTGCTTCAGCTTGCAAGATGGATTTCCTACAAGACATCCCCAAGGAGAAGCCGCATGGATCTATCCCGATGCAGCCCTGGGTGCTGGAGCAGCCGTGTGGAGACCCCTGCCAGT